GCTCCCGCCGGGACGAACCACTCGAAGGACCTCCAGATTCCGCACCGCCAGACTCCACACGAGCAGGCCCAGCACCCTCAGGCTCCGCACCCCCAGTCGCAGCACCCGCAGGCTCAGCACCCCCAGACTCAGCACCCCCAGGCTCAGCACCCCCAGACTCCGCACCCGCAGGCTCAGCACCCCTAGCAGCACCAGAGTCAACAGCTACCTCGACAGGCTCGAATGCGTCTACCTGGGACACACCTGAGGGGGCAGGACCCTGAGGGGGAAGGGGGTCTACCGGGGGAGGACCTGGCGTGAGGAAGAGCGGCGGGGGGGGCAGTGCGGTAGGGGAAGAGACGGTAGTAAGGAACCGACTCGTCAAACGTGACGTCCTGGGAGGACAGAACACGGCGCGAGGTGGGGTGGTAAAACTGCCAACCACGCGCGTCAGGGGGGAAGCCAAGGAAGACGCAGGGAATAGCGCGGGGGGACAGCTTGTTCGCAGACAAGTCGCGGACAAAAGCTCGAGATCCCCAGACACGGAACGCAGACGCATTGCCAACCTTCCCCGTCCACCGCAAAGTAGGGGAGGTCTCCGGCAAGGAGACCCGGGGCTGAAGGTTGATCTGATGCGCCGCGTACTGAACCGCGAACGGCCACAGAAAATGGGGAGCAACCGCATGGATCATGAACGTACGAGCGACGTCCATGACCATGCCAATGCGGCGCTCAGCAATCCCATTTTGCTGTGGAGAGGCCGGAAGCGTGAACGTCTGGCGGATGCCCCGTGCATGATAGAAGGCTCGCAGAAGGTCAGAGGAAAACTCTCCGCCTCTGTCGGAGTGCAGACGCAGAACAGGAAAGTCCGAGCCGAAACTCTCTCTGAGCTGGAGACGAGCTGCGCGGATCCAGTCGATCAACACCTCAGTGATCTCACCCTTGCTGCGCAAGGGGAAGACTGTGGTGTAACGCGAGTAGTCGTCAACCACCAGCAGGAAGTAACGCTCGTGACCCTGTCCACGGACGCGGGCGGGGCCCCACACGTCCAGGTGAAGCATCTGCAGCGGAGCCTCTGTCGGAGGAAACTCGGAGGAGTGAGGAGCGGTGCGCTGCCGCCCCTCGACGCAGGGAACGCAGGTAGGGGCAGGCCTCGGAGGAAGAGGAGGGAGGGACCGGGGGAGACTAGAGACAAGGACATGAGAGGCCATGCCTCGGAGACGAGGCAGGGAGGGGTGACCAAGGCGGTGGTGCCAGAGGAGAGTTTGGTGAGACAGGAGACGACACGAGCAGGGGGCAGACTCAGGACCAGACCTGGACGCTGCAGCAAACACCTGACCCGACGCAGCTACCTGACCAGACTCAGCAGCCGGAGGAGACTCAGTAGTCAGTGTGTACAGGCCCGACCCCGGCCGACGGGTAAACGTGGCCAAGTGTCGGCCCGTCCGAGCACACGTACAGTGGGTCACTCGCTGACTCGCAGGAGTGAACTGGTCAACCACGCCATCCTGTAGGTCAGCACCACTCACCAGGTTCGTAGAGAACGAGGGGAGGTAAAGTCCTGACAGGGTGCCAGAAGGGGCCGCCGGACACGGTAAGACAGTGGAGAAGTGGGCAAGGACAGGACCCCCAGAGGGGTCTGCCAGCGAGACTGCAACCGGCCGACTAAGCGGCGTGAGTGTGGTGCGGTCTCGAAAGAAGGAGCGGGAAGCACCCGAGTCAAGGGTGAAAGTGTGCAAAGCCTGAGCCGACGTGGTACCTGAGAGAGCAGACTCACCAGCACCTGGGGCAGCAGACTCACTGTGAGAGTACGACGGCTTATGCCAGCTATGCTTGCTTGCCTATACTTTATTATGCTATTTCTAGCATAGGATAATTATATGCATGCATGAATTGCTTGATTTCCTAGGCTATGTGCTTTCCTATATTTTATTATAGTTATAGCACCGAGCTAGGTTGCGTGCACCGAATTCTGGCTTTTCGGTTGCCACCGAATTGCCTTCTACCGAATTCGGGGAAGGATCTGTTCAGGACGCTTCGCGACCCGCGGAACCTTCGCGTAACATCTGGTTACTAGACCTTGTGTCGAGCCTATATATAGCCTCGCGTTGTACCCAGGTGATCATTCAATTCAATTCAAACTCTCTTTTCCGAGCTCGATCCTAGATCCTCACACTTGGTATCAGAGCCTGTTTAGACGCGAAGTTTTTCGACCGCTAAAACCTAGCTTTTAAAACCGCGGGGGCGACGACGGAAAGCGCCGATTTCGGGTACGTAAACCAGTTCCGCGCTATTTTCTAACGTCCCCCTCGAACCAGTTTTCGAACACTCCTCAGATCTAGTGGCGAAAAAGTTGGAATTTCGACCGTCGGATCGATTCGAATCTCAACGGCCCTGAGAATTTTGCCCAAAAAGGTTGGAATTTGGAGCGTCGGATTGAATTTCTTCTCAACGGCCGAGATCGGACGCGAATTTCACTTAAGGGAGAATTACGCGACCTACAGAATCAGCGCTCGTCATTTCTACAGTCAATTTGACTCACAGTAAGATGACCAGCGCCTAAAATTCATTTTTTTTCGTCGCAAATCTTCCTGTAAATCGCCAAATGGAGGAAAATTGTGATAATTCCGTACGAAAAAATACGGAGTTACACACCGGCTTGGACCAAACGCGAGCGGCACTCCAGCGAATAGAGGAGCTTCTCGCGAACCAGTCGGCAGCCGCCACGGCAGCAGCGAACGTAGCAGCGAATGCAGCAGCGACGCCAGCAGTAGCAGCAGCGACACCAACACTTCACCCAGCAGCAGCGGCAGCAGCTACAGTGAATCTTGAGGCGGCACGTCCGAGGCTACCGGAGACGTTCAATCCAAATGCGAGAGACACCGACGTCCGTCGATTCATTGCGACCCTCGAAATTTACTTCGAGGCCGTTGGCTGTACGACCCCGACACACGATGCAATGCGGATTCGGCTCGCAGCGACACTGTTACGAGGCCCAGCGCTCGAGTGGATTTACAACAGCAATAAGATCCGAGGCGAGGGGTCATGGACGTAGTTTCGGGAAGCTTTAATTCAACGTTTCGAACCAATCAACTCCAGCTACATGGCGCGGCAGCAGATTCATCGGCATAAACAGTTCGGCAGTGTAACACAGTACACGCAGCAGATGGAGAGCCTCTTCAACCGAATTACCGACCTGATCGAAGGGGAAAAAATCCAAGCGTATACTGAGGGGCTAAAGATGGAAGTCCGCCAACAGGTGATTGCCACGAACTACAACAACTACCGCAACATAGTGTGTGCAGCAGAGAGATTCGATGCGTTGACTCGAGGCGAACCCGAGACACGACGCCACGTGCCGACCAGATCATTCGACACGAAGCGATCGGCACCACCCACGACCGCCGACCCGATGGATATCGACAAGATCGACGCGAAGCAGCGGCCGACAAAATATGAGAAGTGCGAATTTTGCGGCGCAGCAGGACATCGACTCTTGGCGTGTTGGAAAATGAAGAAGGCATGAGCGGAGCTGCAGGGCAACAACAGTGCGACATCTATGATGGCGAAAACAAGACTCTGCACCGACCGGGAAACTCCAGCCGAACAACCCCGAGAGTAAGAATATTCCCTCTCGAGGTTTTCAAGCCTTTAAAATTTCAGGGGAGATTTCAAGGCCAAGAAAAAGCCTTCAGACATTATTCAGGTACCTGAGAAGTTGGGCAAACCACTCCGTAGCGTTGAAAAGGGTCGTGCGTTCCAAGGAGTTAATATTCTCTCCCCGCACCATGGTGTTAAGGCTCCCCATTGCCCACAGGAGAAGCCTACACAGCTGCAAAGGCTTAAGGGAAGGTTCCAGGCCAAGACGAAGCTGAATCGGCCTCGGATAAATCCTTCCAACCCTACTCAGTTGGAAACTAATATGGAGTCAGCAGCTTCGAGCGCAGGACCGAGGGATGATCTATTCGACGTACCCTACGATCCTATAAGCGAGACCATCTACGGTTACTCGGAGCAGCAACAACCACTACTACTCGAGGTGATCTGCAACGGGCGACGCCTCTAGGCACTGGTGGACAGCGGTGCGTCTCACTCGGTGTGCGACCGCGGGACGTTGGAGAAAATTGGAGAATCTTCGGAGGAGACCAAGTTCATGGCAACGATGGTGGACGGTACGAAACTTCCCATCCACGGCGAAGCTTCACTGCAGCTGCACATAGGGGCGCTGAGGTGGAAGCCGACGTTGCCGATCACGAACATCAAGGGTTTAGATTTCATCTTGGGGCGAGATTTCCTGAAGCGGTTCAACCCCGAGATCGACTGGGTCAACAGGAAGGCGCGCATCTTCAACAACGGGAAACGAGTGGAGCTGCGAAGCTGGACGGATACAGGGACCATTCCTGAAACGACACTGGCACGGTTCGAACGGACAGTGAACAAGAGTAACACGGGTTACTTAGCACTGATTATGGCAGCAGCAGAGGAGGAGAAGCTGAGTACGGAACTACCTGCAGCAGTGAAGGAGGTCTTGGAGCAGTACAAGGATATAATGCCCGACGACCTACCCGCAGGCGTACCTCCAGCACGCACCCACGAGCATGAGATCATGGAGGAACCAGGTGCGAAACCCGTCTCACGTGCACCATACCGATTGAGTCCGACCGAACTGACAGACATGAAGAAACAGATAGAGTATCTACTGGACAGACAACTGATCCGCCCATCCACCTCTCCCTACGGTGCACCAGTCCTCTTCACTCCAAAACCAGACGGCACTTTACGGATGTGCATCGACTACCGCGCACTGAACAAACAGACAGTAAAAAACAAATACCCCATACCGCGCATCGACGACCTTCTGGATCAACTGCGTGGTGCAACAGTCTTTTCGAAGCTGGACCTACGGTCGGGTTACTGGTAGATCAAGATGGCGGACAACTCGATCCACAAGACGGCGTTCTGTACCAGATACGGCTCCTACGAATACTTGGTGATGCCGTTCGAACTCTGCAACGCACCAGCGACGTTCCAGGTGGAAATGAACCATATCTTACGACCCCTGCTGGACGAGTGCGTGGTGGTGTACCTGGACGACATTCTTATCTACTCCAAGAATATGAAGGAGCACGTGGAGCATCTGCGGAAGGTCTTCGAGATCCTGCGGAAGAACAAGTTCTATGTGAAGCTGTCGAAGAGCGACTTTGCCCTGAAGAAGGTGCAGTTTCTCGGGCACATGGTGAGTGCCGAGGGCGTACACGTGGACCCGCGGAAAATCGAAGCCGTTAAGAAGTGGAAAGTACCGGAGAACATGAAGGAGTTGCAGCAGTTCCTAGGCTTCGCCAACTACTACAACAGGTTTGTGCTGCAGTACGCTAAGATAGCAGCGCCACTGACCGACCTACTGAAAAAGGATACGCCTTCAAATGGGATACTCCTCATCAGCAAGCCATGGAGAAGCTACAGACAGCACTGACTACAGCGCCAGTACTCATCCTACCGGACCCAGACAAGGACTACGTGGTGGAAGCAGACGCTAGTGACCAAGCAGTCGGAGCAGTACTGATGCAGGATCACGGACGCGGTTTGCAGCCCATCGCCTACCTTAGTAAGAAGCTACACGGAGCAGAACTAAATTACCCCATCCATGACAAGGAAGCCTTAGCGATAGTCATAGCCTTCAAGGCGTGGAGGTGTTACCTAGAGGGAGCCAAGACTACAGTATACACTGACCACTGCAGTCTCAAATACCTGAAGTCGCAGCCGACGCTCTCTCGACGACAGGTGCGGTGGGTGGACTTCCTGGAAACTCACTTCCACCACGACATCGTCTACAAGCCCGGGCTACACAACAAGGCAGACGCGTTGAGCCGCCCCGGTCATGTAGCAGGCATCCAGCTCGATGGGATGAACCCTCTGCTCAAGGGTCTATTCCAACATGGGTACTCCGTGGACGCAGAGATCGCTACAGCACAGACTAAGAAGCTGTTACAGTGGGAGAAAGACTTAGCTGTAAGGAAGGGTTCAGGAAAGATTTGGGTACCGAATTACGCCCCGCTACAGCAGATCCTATTGGAGGAGTTTCACAACGTACCATACGCGGGACATTTCGGGAGCGACAAGACGTTAGCAGGGATAGCGAAGTATTACTATTGGCTCGGGATGGCAGCAGACGTGCAGCAGTTCGTCACCTCTTGCGACACGTGCCAGCGGATGAAGAGTAGCAAGCAGAAAAAAGCAGGGTTACTTCAGCCTCTACCCGTACCGGAGCAGCCATGGCAGGTCGTTAGCCTCGACTTCATCACAGGACTTCCTTCGACCTCACGGGGACATGATTCCATCCTCGTGGTGATTGATAAGTTCTCCAAAATGGGTCACTTCATACCGACCAACGCCACAGCTACAGCTGAAGCAACTGCTCGCCTCTTCTTCGACCGCATCATCACCATCCACGGCATCCCCGCTACACTCATCTCAGACAGAGACCCCAAATTCACGAGTAAGTTCTGGAAGGAGCTCATGGGATTATTGGGGACTAAACTTGCGATGTCTTCAGCATACCACCTACAGACTGACGGACAGACTGAGCGACCCAATCAGGTGGTTGAACAGTTACTGCGCACAGCTTGCAAAGACGACGTCAACCACTGGGACACACAGTTACCGACCCAAGAGTTCGCTTACAACAACGCGTCACATGCGGCCACAGGGAAAACTCCTTTCTTCCTGTGTTACGGACGGGAACCACTTACCCCACAGCAGCCAACCACACCGGCACACGTCCAAGCCGCACATGACTTCGTCACCACCATGCAGCAGCTATGGGAGAAGACTCAGCGACGTCTCACCACGATGCAGAATTCCCAGAAGCAGTATGCCGATCGTCAGCGACGAGATCACTCTGTAGCAGTCGAAGATCAAGTGCTTCCTGACACGTGCAACTTGAACCTGTCTCACCTCCCATCCAAACTCTGGCCTCGCTTCTGTGGTCCTTTTCTTGTTGAGGCACAGGTGACACCAGTTACATTCCGCTTGCGCTTACCAGATACGTGGAAGCTTCACAACGCTTTCCATGTTCAGCTACTGAAGCCCTACAAGGACCCCAACCAACAGTTCCAGTGACGCCAGCTACCGCCACCACCACCTGTTCTCATACAGGATGAACCAGAGTACGAAGTGGAGCGCGTTCTCACTCATCGGCGCCGCGGCGGCAAGACCCTCGAGTTCCTGATACGCTGGAAGGGATACGACCCTACTGAGGACAATTGGTTAGCAGAAGCTGATATGGGCAACGCACACCGTGCTCTCTAGGACTATCTTGTCAAGCAGGGTGTATCTCACGCCACCCAGCTTTGAGGGGGGCTAGGGGCAGACGCAGCGCCGACCGACTCGGTGCCAACGAGGTCGACGGTAGTAGCAGAGGCAACAGAGGGCAAAAGGGGGGAGGGGGAGCACCCCTCAAAGAAGGGGGCACGAGGGTCACCACGAGAGGCTCCTACAGCGACTATACTCTTCTCAGCTGCCAGGAGGCGCTCCTCGAGGAGGTCAACGGTGAGTGTGGTGGGGCAAACAGAGAGGAAGTGGTCCCTGACCGAGCAAAGGGAGTCAGGGAGCCGGGTGACTAGGTAGTAGAGGGTGATGTACATGGGGGGGGGGGGGTTCTTGGTGCAGAACTCAGCAGGAAGCGCAGCGCGGTAGCGGGTGTCACTAGTGCGGAGGTGCGTAATGAGGTCAGCGACTGTGGGAAAGGCGGCGAGTTCAGGGAACAGGTACGGCAGCATGAGGCGACTAAGGGCAGCAGTGGCAGGGGAAGAGTAGCGTGCAACTAGAGCGTCGTACAAGGTCTTAGCACTCTTGTACTGACTAAAGTGCGCACGCTCAGTGGACGGCAAGTGACTACGCACAGCAAGACGGGCAGCAGCATCGCGTGTGGCCCACTGTGAGCAAACGGTACTGTCAGTATCAGCAGCAGGGGCAGCAGAGGTGCCAGACGTGAGATCGAACAGTGAGAGACCATCTTTCCTATCGCACTGCAGGAAAAGCTGCACATCATCGACCCAGACCTCAAAGTCGACAGCCCGACCCTCAGCATCAAAGGTGAGCACATTGGGGGTAGCCATGACAGCAGCAGCAGCAGCAGGAGGGGCGCGGCTCGGCGGTGCTCTTACCAGGGGCGGGTGGGTAGAGGTCCGCAAGCGGTGGGGCAGGGCCGAGGTGCGCCGGCAGGAATAGGGCCGCGACAGGGCGGAAGAGGAGGGCCGCGCCTCGGCTGCAGGGTGGGGCCGGGACGGCGGCTGCTGCTGTCACGGCAGTGGCAGCGGCGGTTGTCTCAGCAGGAGCGGCGGCGGCTGTCACGGCAGCAGCGGCGGCGGCGACCGGCCGTGGAGGAAGCAGCAGCGGCAGCAGGCGCGACGGCAGCTGCTGCTGGGGCGGCGACGACGGGGCGGCAGGGCCGTGAAGAGCCGGGGAGGGGCCGCGAAGGGGCCGCGAAGAGCCGCGAAGGGGCCGCGGAGGGGTCGTGAAGGAGCCGCGAAGGGCCGCGGAGGGGCCGCGAAGGGGCCGCGAAGGGCGCGAAGGGGCCGAGAAGGGGCCGCGAGGGGCCGCGAAGGGGCCGCGAGGGGCCGCGAGGGGCCGCGAAGGGCCGTGAGAGGGGCCACGAAGGGCCGCGAAGGGGCCGCGAAGGGCCGCGAAGGGGCCGCGAAGGGCCGTGAGAGGGGCCGCGAAGGGGCCTTAAGGGGCGCGACGGGCCGCTAAGGGCAGGCGCACGGGGCGCGACTTGGGCAGGCGCGAAGCGCGCTCCGGGCAGGTAAGGAAAAAAATTCGTTTTAGTGGTGGGCCCTAGGAAACGTTCCCACTAGGGAACCTGCTCTAAACCATGTGAAATAACGAGGAATGGTTGAACTAGGAAAATGTGTGATACAAATATGAAACCCTAGAAACCTGTACCCCTTAGTGTCTACCCCACTAGAGCCTACAAACACTATGTCATATATATCTGACAGAGCACCACCACGAAAATGCATGCTTGAGTCTCCCATTCATGGACGTGATGTGCAGATCAGTTACTGCGTGTTCGTAAGGGTCGTGAGTCAACCACGCTGCCATGGCCGAGAAGCCTGCGCACGTTCGATGGAAATGTGCACCACATGCCAGATGCAATAATGGAGTGAGCTCATGTCATGTTCAAGTTCACAACGGAAGAGCGAGGCAGTCGCGCTTTGTTGCTTTGTTTGTTTGTTTCGGGGTGGATGAGATTCGTTTCCGGGCTAGCTGGTTGCGTAAATGACGCGCAGTCGCTCATGAGAAAATGACGTACGTAAATTGAGCTGACCTGATATGAGAATGACGCGCCCTAAGGCCGGGTCCAGCAGGTTCGTCCTTCGTTCGTGATGTGCGGTTACTCTTGTTACGTACGGCCCAAAACGGTGAAGCTTCCTCTGTAGACCGTCTTGAACTGTCTTGCGCCACGACGGATGAACTGAAAACGAACGGGCTGGACCTGCCCTGGAATCTTTTTAATTTCCTCACTCTGTAGTACACTTCGCCGCGTGCATCTCTGTTCACGGGCTAGACCCCGTTCTTCACCCGTTGCCGGTGTTCGCCACTGTCAGAGAATGTAACGAAACAAGAATGGTATGAACCCTATTCAATTTCAAGACTCTCAATCCCTCAGCTGGAGCTTTGAGACCGCGCCCTTGTAAACCCTTACACTGCCGATTTCGTAGATTCAGGACGTGTCTCACTTCCGACGAGTCTGCGAGCCGGTCCGCTCTTGGAAATGTTGCACCCCAAAACCGTGGACTGGTCCGCCGGACCAGGTTGAGTCCGTACTGGCGAACCAGCTTCGAACTGGTCCGCTGATGAAATCTACAGTGGTGTGAAGGCGAGAACACTGCGTGTTTTTCCCAACACTAGGTTACTATGACTCGTAAGGGCTTCATGTCATTGGGCAATCCGCCATCGCGCGCTGTCAAGTTTTGCGACACTTGTGGGGTGAGTTCGTTACAATTCGTGAAAGACTGTTCAGGAGTCCGACGTGGACCAGCTCGCCGAACCAGTCAAGACTCCCCAGTACAGTCCTTTTCCGTCGTTGAAACACGCGGGTCCACGCTCCGGTCCACGCTCGGGTCCGTGGTGGTTTGGTGGACTGGTCCACGTCGACCGCCTAGATCCAGTGTGGACCGAAGATTTTGAGACACCCTCTCAGATCCGAGTTCTCATATTGTGTCCCTGACTTTCGGCCAAGCAAAGCAAAATCGCCAGTCTAGACATGGCTGAGGCTTCGAATGGCGGAGCATCACCCCAGCAGCAGACCTTACAATCCGATGGCGACCCTTTCTCTCCGTTCTCCGACAACCTGCTGGGCGCCGTGCTGCTGCGCGTGGCGTGCAACGGCGTCCGATTCGTCGCCCAGGATCGTCCTATTACCAGCGAAGAAGAGGCCGATGCGGAAAGGAAGATCGACGAGGCCCTCCT